GGCTAATTATTAGTATAACAATGTATGTTTTTATTAAATTAATTTTAGAAAGCATTTATTGATTCCCCAATGAGAAAGATGAAGAATGATCACCTTTATTCTATCTCTTTCTCTTCCCCCCCTTTTTTTACCACAATGTTTGATATATCAATATTTTTTGTTCTGTTGGTTACCTTCGACATTTCAAATAATGCATATGAGCTGCTATTTCTGTTCCATCACCTTTTCCTATTTTCTATTGACTCCCTACTTTATAGGAGAAGTATATGCACCTCTGCCCTTTCCTCTTTTCCATGACCCATTTCCCATTAGTTTATACCTGTAGAATAGCTGAGGTTGTACCTGTTTGCATGCCATCCTGAAATCAGCAAGTCTTTCTTCCTTTGTTAAATACCGACTGTAAAAGGTGAAAAGTAATGAACACATTTTATGTCATTATAGCCTTAGAGATAAAGTTTTATTTTGACAAAGAGGCATTCTGCACAGACTACATATCTACCTCACTGTGTCCGATGCCCTAATCCTGGATCACTCTAAGACTTTCCAGCATCAAGGTCAAATGAATCTTATTCTTGAATACCCCTTTTTATTTTTCTTACAATGAAACTATCATTTAATTTGCTTTTTACTTCGACCATAGCTTTTTGGCTTTTCCAGAATTTCTGTTTGCCTTTTCCCCACTCCAGTCATTCCATTTTTTCTATCTACTCCACTTTCTCCTCCAGAGATTGCTTTCTCCCACTGCTTTTTCCTAAAACCACACCATAGTTCTATTTAGTCATTTTCCATCTCTCCCACCTTGAATTCTTACCTATCTGAAAATGTTGCTCTCATTCTTGAGTAAAGTTTTGTCAGAGCTAAAGTTCTAGGTTAAAATTATTTACCCTCAAAGCTTTTAAAGTATTATTCTGTTAACTTCTAGCAACAGTGTGACTAATGAGAAGTCGGATGCAGTTGTGTTTATCATTCATTTACAGTGACTTTATTAATTTTTTTCCTACTGGAGCACTTCGCATTCTGAAATTTGATGATAATGAATTTGGATCTCAACATTTTTCAGGCAGGCCACCTTGGGCCTTTGTAGTCTGGAAATTCAACTCCCCTATTACTATGGGAAATTCTTTTCTGTTATTTTTTCCCTTCCACTTTCTTTGTTTTACTATAGTCCTTTTTAGTTGAATATTGGCTCTATTGGACTAGTCTCATCATTTCTCTCATATTCTTGGTCTTTTTTTTTTTTAACCATAACAGGACATTTCCTTTTTTCTTGACTTTGTTAGACTTTCTCATCAAAACATTTATTTGGAAATTCCATATATAAATTTTAAGACTTTTATTTTCTTATTTAAAAAATTTTACATGGACCTTTTTTCTGTTGTATGGAGGTAATATGTCACTTAATATCTTTAACTTTATTATTTAGATTATTCACTTTTTTTTCCAAGTTGTATCACTTTTTCATATGTATGTAATACAAGACTAGTAACAATTATGCCACGTATAACCATTAAATGGTGTACTGCTGTATGCATTGGATTCACTTGCATATTTCATTGTCATAACTGCACTCTCTATGCATAAATATATTTGGAGATGCTGGGGTTGGGGGCTACGGGGACAGTGGCAGGTGGAGAACGAAATTCACACATCCACGCCTTTGCGATGGAACAGTTGTTTTTATCTGTCTCACTGTCATCCCCTTCCCCCCTGACACTTCTCCTTTGCACACAGAGATTCCTTAACTCCTTCTTCCATTTCTAGAGACTCTGACTTGTCCCCCAGGGAAGAAGTAGAGCTCCGAAATTTCTTCAGCAAATTAGAAAGGAGATATGGGCAACTGACTGCGTTCTGTGTCAGCTGCGTCTGTCCCTCATTCTCGGTTTCCCTGTGGTAGAAAAAAAGTTAGAGACAGTCACTGGCACTGGCAAAGCAATGGTTAAGACACCCTCAGCGGCACACAGGGACCCCACGATCTTGCCCCCCACTGTGATGGGTATCATGTTCCCACAGCCCACAGTTGTCACTGTCACCATGGGCCACCAAAATGCATCCGGGATGCTTTGGAAATGGGTCGGCGGTTCACCCGCCTCCGCAAAATACACGGCGCTGGAAAAGAGGATGACCCCGATGAACAGGAAGAAGATAAGCAGGCCCAGCTCCCGCATGCTGGCCCTGAGCGTGTGCCCCAGGATCTGCAGGCCCTTGGAGTGCCTGGACAGCTTGAAGATCCGGAACACCCTGACCAGACGAATGATCCTGAGGATGGCAAACGACATGGCCTGCTGCTGCTGACCGTTGCCACCCCCCTGCTGCTGGGCCAGGTCAGTGCCCAGGGTGATGAAGTAAGGCAAAATGGAGATGATGTTAATGATGTTCATGATGTTCTTGAAGAAGAGAGCCTGGCTGGGGCAAGTGAAGCAGCGAACCATGAACTCGAAGGAAAACCAAACGATGCAGACTGTCTTCAGGATGAAGAAGGGGTCGCTGAAGATCGTGTGGCCTGAGTTCTATGGGTCGGGCACCGAGGTGTCATTCAGCAACCCGCGCTCAGGGCCAGGACGAGATCCCTGTTGTCCCTAAACTCAGGCAAGGTTTCCAGGCAGAAGATGACGATGGAGATTAAGATGACCAGGACGGAGACGATGGCGATGGCCTGGACCGGGCTGGAGCTCTCTGGATACTCAAAGAGAAGCCAGATCTGTTTCTTTTCTTTTCTTTTCTTTTTTTTAAAGATTTTTATTGGGGAATTGGGGGGATGAGAACAGTGCTGGGTAATTGGGGGAAGGGGAACAGACAAGTTGCTGTCGTTTTGTTCTTCAGTCTAGTTGTGGAGGATGTTGCTTCGCTGGCCCAAGTTAGCACCATCCTTGCGCTCTTCCCGGGCGAGGCAGATCAGTCGCCGGCTGCTGGCCGCTCACACTGGCTGCTGGCTACACACGGTAGCCCATGGCAACCCACGGTCACAGGGACTGCAGCTCACGCCGTCGCCGGCGACCCACGGCAGCCCAGCTCCAGGTTGAGCTGTTGTTCAGCATCTTAGCTGTGGAGGGCACTGTCACTGGCCCTCATATGTGGGATCCGAACCGGGGCCCTCTGGCGTGCCAAGCCAGCTTTTAATCATCGCGCCACTCGGCGGGCCTAAGATCTGTTTCTTGAATTCATTCTAGAGCAGCGCCCTGTCTTCCTCCTCTCGCACCAAGCCCTCATCCTCCCAAAACTTCAGCAGGGCCTCCTCTCCCAGCTGGTAGCACTTCACCTTCTCGGTGAAGATGTCACAGGGGACATTGACCGCCTCTTCAGGCGCCTCTTGGTAATAATACAAGATGGCATGGAAGCTAGGCCTGTTCCTGTCGAAGAAATTCTCGTTGCGCAAAGGGTCGAAGTACTGAGTCCTCTTCTCAGGGTCCCCCAACAAAGTCTCTGGGAACTGGGCCAGCGCTTTCATCTGGGTCTCTAAGCCCGAGACGTTGATCGCCACGCGCTCGCAGCAGTCACTGTAGCGCACGGAGCTGTAGCCACCGCCACCCCCGCCGTCCTGCGGCAGCAGGTCGGTGTAGGAGCACTCGTCGCCATGCTTGTCGTCGCTGTAGTAAAACCTGCCCTCCTCCTCCTCCTCCTCCTCGTCCTCACTCAGCTCCCTGAGGATCTTCTCCTCGGAGCCGCTGGGCATCAGTTCAGAGCAATGCGGAAAGCTGCTCTGACGGTGGTGGGCTTTCTTCTTCTCGGGCCGCTGTCGCCGCCTCCTCCTACTGCCCCGGCTGCCCTGAGGGTCATGGGAGGTGCAGGCCCCGCGAGACTGGTGGTGGTGATGGGAGACCCCTCCGGAACCCCCGCTGCCTTCCACCGCGGCGGTGGTGGCTGCGACAGCTGCGGCCGCTGCTGCCCTGGAGTGAGCGAGCCTCTCCCACTCGCCGGCTCGGGCCTGGGCTGCATATCGGGCCTGGGCTGCATAACCGTAAGGCATGTGACTGTTGTACTCTGAGCTCCGGGCACTGTCCACCGCAGCCACCATGGTGGTGGTTTTTGGAAATGACTGGTTCCAGTGGTAGCAGAAAGAAAAAAAATAGGGCAGCTTCTTTTCTCACCAAATGAAGGTAAGTTTGGAACCCTGAAGCAGGTTGCTTGGAAGACTAGAGATATTTTCAGTCCAACTTTGCATTTTTAAATTTGCACACCCTATGCTGTCTTCCCAGGGATTCAACATGGCTCTCCAGAGCTTGGCTGGTTTAGAGAAACAGCCTAGCACTCTCAAGCCTAAGTCAGAAAATTTTGGGGTCTCCCAAAGGCCTGTTTTGGGGTGGATGTTCAAACTTGGAAATACATCTAGGATGTGGCTGCTGCTGATGCTGCAAGATTCAAAGACAAGTATCTGACAGCCAGCAGTTGTGCCTAGGAAACGGAATATATTTTTCTGCCATGGAAACTGTCCAAAGCTCAGTCCATCAAATTTACATAAAATGCAAATAAGCCTTTAGTCTTAGCACTTGCCTTCTAGTGACAGCTTGACCCATGTTAACATGAGACTTGAGGTATGTCCAGCCATTGCCGCTCAGACCTACCAGGACAGTTCCCCCAGCTCTCCCCTTAAGTTCATCACAGGCTTCCTGAACCCAGAGGCAATGCCGAGCTATCGATAGAGGCAAAGACCTTGGGAGGTAGAGAATGTGCGAGATGAGGTGCCAGCAGGGGCAAACCCAGCTCTGAGGTCTCCACAGAAATCAAGGAAATGCAGGCAGAGCATCCTTCAGCTAAAATCATGCAGAAGAAGCACTTCACTTAACCACTGCTGGCTCCGCGAAGAACACCTGGAGGACTGCTTTCCATTCATTTACATCAGAGGCTATGATTATTGCTATCCCCAAGTGTCCTGATTTGTAAATGTAGTTCCTAGGTTCCTCTCCTTGGCTTGGCTGCTGCCTGTTCTCCAAAAGGCACATGTGCTGTCCTTTGTGACAAGTGGGGATTCTGTCAGATCCATTGCACTGCCAATCACTAGTCAGGAGCAGAGCACAGAGGGCTCCAAGGGGCCTTGTTGCCTGCGTGGAGTCAGCAGGAATCCAAGGGGAGGCTGGGTTCTATCCGATTGACAGCACCAAGTCTTTGACCAACAAGCTGAGACAAGGCCCAGCGAGAGCAGAGAGGATGTCAGCTTTGGTGTCCCACAGACTTGTTTTCAGTGCCAGCCCTGCACTTGACCGATGGCAGGTCTTAGTCACATTATGTTAATTTTCTCAGTCCTATCTGTGCTCTAACTGTCTCTCTGTGATCTTGATGCTTAGGGCTGGACTTCTTGTCTTAGCAGCCAAACAGCTCTGTGGTGTGGTCTTGTGGAAGTCTGGTAGCCTTCCTTCATTCTGTCATGCTTTCTCTGTCCCTTTTAATTCAAATTGGCAGCCTCTCTGCTGGTATCATCCTATTTCTATTCTGAGTATTCACTTTTTAATTGCTATTTTTTCCCTGAATTTACTCTATTTCCTTTGGGCTCAGTTTCTTTTTTATTTATATATTATAATTAGTTTCTCTCTTTCATGATGATAATTTTTCTCATATAGCTAATGACTTGTTTATGTTTTATTGGATGGTAAATATGTCTATTCTTTAATACTGTATATTTAGGATTTTTAGAAATTTCTATCATTCCTTTGAGTGGAAATTCTGACTGGAGATTCTGTGTAGAATAGAGACAGGAAAGGCTTAATCACCAGGAATCTTTGCTTTTCAGTGAGAGGATAAGAAGTGGTCAAGTTGAGGATCCTATCATATGTCGAAACAAAAAGGACTTTTTTTCTGGAGGTAGGAATACACACTTTAGATTTCTTGGACCTTCCGATGCTTTATTCAGATTCCTTAGAGAGAGCTGTTATGTTTTGACCTGAGTAGAAATTTTAGTGCATATACTCTGCAGGTACAGTTGGAGGAGTTGGAGTGGTGATGGGGGCAACTGGTGGAGTTGGCCTATATTAAACACCTGTGTTCAGCCTCAGGTCTTACTCCTGCTTACATTATACCTGTTGCTCTAAGACTCTGGAGTTTGTCAGAGAAACTAGCCCACATCTTTTCTGCAGCCCCTTAGTAGATTCCAGGACATAGCTTTCTCCATGCATTCCATGTCAATCTCCTCCTCTCTACTTTTCATCTTCTATAAATATGTTGAGATCATCACTCATTGACAAATCTTTCTCCAATTATCTTTGCTGTTTGGGTTCATTTTCTTTTATCTGTTTTAACTTTCATTTCAGTGGGATATCAGGAAAGGTAAGAGGCAAACCTGGATGACTAATGTGTCATCTAGAGCCAAAAGTCTAAATTATTGTTTTAATTGAAAACCAAGGGATATTTCTCTAGTTTTATTTTGTCTGAGAATTAAAGATTATGTTATAATTACATATGAGGTCTGACAATTAAGTTCATGAACTTGTTGCAACGATGTTGCTAACCTTTTTTGATATCAGCAGGATTAATCATTATGAATTTGTACCAACTGGACAAACAGTTAACCAAGTTTGCTATTTGGAAGTGCTGAAAAGGCTGTGTGAAAAAGTTAGACAACCTGAACTTTTCACCAACAATTCATGGCTCTTGTATCACGACAATGCACCTGCTCACATGGCGTTGTCTATGAGGGAGTTTTTATTTTATTTTATTTATTTATTTATTTTATTTTTAATTTTTTTCTTTCTTTACACTTTATTATTTTTTTAAAAAGATTTTTTTATTGGGGAATTGGGGGATGGGAACAGCACTGGGGAATTGGGGGAAGGGGAACAGACAAGTTGCTGTCCTTTTGTTCTTCAGTCTAGTTGTGGAAGACGTTGCTTCACTGGCCCAAGTTGGCACCATCATTGTGCTCTTCCCGGGTGAGGCAGATCAGTTGCCGGCTTCTGGACGGCCGCTCATGTTGGCTGCTGGCTGCTCACGCTGGCTGCTGGCTACACATGGTAGCCTGTGGCAACCCACTGCAGCATGGGCTGCAGCCTACGCCGTTGCCAGCGACTCACGGCAGCCCAGCTCCAGGTTGAGCGGTTGTTCAGCATCTTAGCTGTGGAGGGCAGTGTTACTGGCCCTCATATGTGGGATCCGAACCGGGGCCCTATGAGGGAGTTTTTAGCCAGTAAACAAATAACTGTACTGGAACACCCTCCCTACTCACCTGATCTGGCCCCAAATGACTTCTTCCTTTACCCAAAGATAAAGGAAATAGTGAAAGGAAGACATTTTGATGGCATTCAGGACATCAAGGGTACAACAATGACATCAGCTCTGATGGCTATTCCAGAAAAAGAGTTCTAAAATTGCTTTGAAAGGTGGACTAGCACTGGTGTCAGTGCATAGCGTCCCAAGCAAAGTACTTCAAAGGTGACTGTAGTGATATTCAGCAGTAAGGTACGTAACACTTTTTCTAGGATGAGTTCGCGAACTTAGTTGTCCACCCCTCAATATACGGAAGTTATTTTTTCGTATATTGAAGCAACATAATATATTAGCTAAGTACATAAACTTTAGAGTCAGAGCAACTTAAATTCAAATTCTGTAACTACCACCTTTTAGTGTTTCAGGCTTCTCATTTGTAAATGGGAATAATAACAATAGTAGTAGTAAAAAATACATACATATCTGAGAATCAAATGATAGAATAAGTATAAAGTGTTAAACATGGTTCTTGGCACATGGAAAACCTTCCATAAATATAAGCTTTATTATTATTTGTTCAATTATTTCTTTTAAAATTAAATATATATTAACTATAAAATATTAATATTTCAAGTGATGTTCTGATATGTCATTGATTAAAATTCCCTTTCATTAGAAGTGGCAGTTATTATATGGGATTTTAATCATATTTAATATGTTTTACCAGGGATGTAAGACAATATCCAAGAGTCTTGTTTAAAATTTAATTATTTTAACATTTCTCTACATCTGTAAAAAGGTTAGAAGTCTAATACTTTGTTACACAATCTCTGTGTTAGCTTTCAGGGAAAGGTAAGGTTTCTTTTATGATATCTGGCTCTTTGGTAGAATTCTTTGGGGGCAATTAAAATTATACATAAAAGAAGTGTTAATAACTTTTTGATAATACAAAACTTTGGACTAAATTTAAATTGATTTTGTGCCTTAGTATTAATAGCTGTATTGCTATTATATGGCTATTAATGATGGTATTGCTATTATAATTACTGCTATTGCAATAAATGAGGGAATTATTTCACAGATTAAACATTACATTATCATCTGCATAAAATGGTGGGTTGTTTTTTTTTTTTTTGCTGCTTGAAAATATTAACATATCCATACTGTGTATTTATGTTAGCTAAGAAGAGAATACTTCCTCAATAGACTGTATTTCCTTTAATATAGCAGGAAATACTAATACTTTTAAGTGAGAAGATAATTAACTACTTAAAATACACTTACAAGTAGTTTAGGGGTGTGGAGTCAGGATTTTAAAAGAAATGTTTTGCAATCTGTAATTAAATAAGGTAACCTCATTATTCTACTTCTTAGCTTGTGGAGCAGCATCCATAAATCAGAAATTGTGGATTCATAGTCATAATTTTAATCCTTTTATTATTATACTTTTAAGTCACTTACAAATGTCTTTCTGTGTGAAAGGTCGTAGCTGCTCTCTCCTTTATGGTCAGCGATGATTCCACTGTGTGTGAGGGATTTGGGTTTTGGCATGGAGGCTTTGCTCCTAGGACTAATGGAACTTTTATAAAGCCAGCAAGGTCCCTACCATTTGTTCTTAGGGGAGATTTTATAATCAAGCATTAATGATAGAAATGTCTATGGTTGGTACATTCAAGGACATCTTTCCCAGCTCTGTGAAAAAAAGAAATGATCACCTCATATAAAAAAGGAAGGGGACATGAGGAACATGAACCTGAACTGTGCACCTGGGAGCAGTTCTAGGCACAGTGCTTTGTAAAATATGGTAGTAAAACCCGACTCTCCTGAAGCTTTATTTTCTGGCAGATTAGTAATGGCCCAGTTTATTTGTGCATACAGGGC